CCCGCCGCTGGCCAGCCCCGGGCCCGGGACGCGGGCGATGCCCGAGCGCAGCCGCGCCCCCTGTTTCCGTGGAGCAAGTGGAAGAAGAGGATGTCCATGTCGTCCATATCGGCGGCCACCGCGCGGAGGCCGGTGTTTGACGACAAGGAAGACGGTGAGTGTGACCAGGGACAGCTTGGAGACCTAGCGCCCTCTCGCAAAGGGGATGTGGGGGTGACATTCTTTGCGTCTCGACACAGCCGCCCGGGTAGGACTGTGTCTGGGTTACTGAGGAAACTCGCGGACCACTGCTGGGTCCTGAATACCAGTGGCTGCGCCGCGGGAGTAGCCGTGTTGGGCGGGTCCTGCTAGATGAGGGTCAATGGGCACTGGGGGCGGCTCTCAGCTTAGGCGCCCAGCAGCTAACTGTGGGGAGCACCTAAGGTTTCATTTTCCTTGGGGCAGTGTTTCAGGAGTGGTTGGTTCCTTGCCTTTCCAGGAGGCGCTCACCTGTAGTGTGCCGAGTTCTCAGAAGTGAAATGCCTGTCCACAGGTGGCACGAGGTGTGTGTCTGGGGAGCTGGCCCCTCTCAGTCTCCAGGGTGACCGTGCAGTGCCAGTGGCATGCCGGGCCTCTGCTTTGGGCTGTGTTGTGGAGCCAGGGCCTCGCCTTTGTGCAAAGACCTGCCCTCTGGGGAGCCAGTGTTCTGTAAAGTCCTTCTGTAGGGAATGTGGCCTGACTGAGGTGGGCTCTGAAGGTGACAGGCGTCAGGCAGCTGGTTGTGCACTGCACACCTCCTGGGGCTCTGCCAGGTGACCTTTGACAGCACCCATGGGAAGGTGATGTGCAGGGGCGCCTTGGGGCCACTGTGCTTAATTCACACGCAAACATATAGCTTTTTTTCCTACAGCTGTCATGCAGATAATTTTAAATGGTACAATGATGACACATTTGATGTTTTTTTGACATTTTCTTAAAATAGTTGAAGACTGCATTTTCATTTGTAGGCAGCCTGCAGAGATACGATGGATTCTTTTTTTTTTTTTTATAATTTAAGAGCACAGCTCAGTTCAAGAGCCCAGACTATTTATTTCCAATAAATAATTTAAGCACTATGGGAAATTACAGCAGGACCTCAGGCCAGTGTGAATGCACGTGCCCTCATTTCTCACAGAGACAGGGTGGGGTGGCTGGCCAGGGCTCACCAGGCCTCGGCGGAAGAGGTCGGCAGGGGAGCGGGGTTCTGCAAAGCATTGTCAGACGCAGTGTGTTCTGGGGTGGACTGTCATTGTGTTCTGAGCTCTGGGACAGCAGAGCTCACTGTGATGACTATTTCCTGGGTTGTGCTTTTGTTTTCAACGTTAATATTCAAAGTGTAAAAAGCCCAGAGTGAAGCAGGAGCTAATAAGAAAGGAGATCTACATCTAGTTTCTGGCTGAGGATGACAGAGGTCTGAGAAACATACACTCAGTGCTTGCTGCTGCTGGCCCCCTGTGTCTTAGTGTCACCTCTCCAAGGCAGCAGATGTGGAAATGTGGTGCAGCACTGCCCTCAGACTTTGGGGTAGACTTTCCCTGCTTGTTCAGTGTGTTGTATCTCAGAATCCAAGGATCATTCAGAAGGCAAAGAGAGCAAAGGATCTGTTTATGGTACTCGCTGTCTGATTTGAGAATTATTTTACTCATTCCCACCTCCTTATTTGCTTGTAGTAGGATGGCAGAGGTACGGAGTGTTCTGGGCTTTGTGTGGGGTGGTTAATTGGTGCTGGCTCACAGAGCTTGCTCTCTGTGTATGTAACTGTCACCAGCTTATCACTGGGCACAAGGGACACATCCCCACACCGAACACACCGCTGGTGTTTAACTGGGCTTTAGTGAGATGAGGAGGTCAAGCCTGGCCCTGGTGGCAGCTGAGCACATTCTCCGGGTGGGCGACACTCAGTGTCACTTTTCTGTGCTGTTGGTAGGGCACAGACAGCTTGAGAGATAACCTGGTACTTATCAAAGAGGGCTGTGTGCCCTGAATGTGAAGACCATGGATTCACGATACAGTCTGGACAGGCGAGGACGCCTGGTTCAGGAAGAGGCTGTGGCCCCGGTCCCTCTGTTTTTGGGAGACACAGTCACTCCCCTAGTCTTGGCCCCACTCTAGCCAGCCTTCAAGCTGTGGCTGTGCTGTGCTGGTGGCTTGCCTGTACAGGAACTGCACAGTTGCCATGGTAATGCAAGGCCTTCTGATGATTTTTTTTATATTAAAACACCTAATTAATATATCAAATTGGTATGAAGAGAAAAAATTTAAAAACAGTAAAAAAGAAAATAGGAGGGCAATTTAAGTGCCAGGTAAATTTCAACTAAAAAGTATAGTTACGACATGTAAGAGCTTAAATGTCCTCTGTTCTTGCTTCTCCCTGGGGAATCCAGAGCCTCATTCCTTCTTGGGCAGGTTTTTGGTGCACTGTGGAATTCTTTGCTTCTCTTCCTCACTCTAGGGCTCCTTTTTCCTTCCCGTGGGCCCCATGTCCCTCTGTGTGCCATTTCTTCTGGGCTTGAACCTGCTACCAACCTCATTTCCTCTGTGCTCTGCCACAGAGCTGCAGGGAGCTGGGCAAGCCCCTCACTCCTCTGCTTCTGTGTCCCTGTGATGCAGAGGGCCTCGTGCGAGTAGCCTGGGGAGGGGCGTGGCTGCTTGCCTCAGACCCACCGTGGCCTTAGCTTACAGTTCGGAGTGGTTACACACGGAGGGGGCTTGGCTGGGCCCAGGACACTGGGAGGAAGCGAGGCCCTTGTAGGCAGCGATGCCTGGCACCCTTGGTTGGGAGAGTGGAGTTGGGACAGGGGCTTCCCAGTTCTCCAGTCACTGCTTTTATAATGAAAACACTAAAGAGAAAGGAATTTTGTTTTTCTCATTTCCGTGCATTTTGCCAGGCTCTGTGGAACCTGAGCTGTGGTGCACGTCCCAGACTCCTGGGAATCTGGATGCAGTCCTGCTGCCATGTAGAAACACACCTTTGCTGCATTTTTTTTTTTTTTTTAAACAGAAGCGGGGATGTGCACCATGTACTGCTGTGTTGAAACCTAGTTTTTTATGTAGTGAGATGCAGTCTGAAGCATTGATGGCTAAGTTCACAGGAGCCGTTTTCACCCTGAGCAGGGTAGCAGATTTTGTGGGTGTTCTAAAAAGGCTCCACTTCTCTCTCAAGACCCTGTGGTTGAATTGCTGGGTGTGGGCATGCTGTGGGTCGTCTTAGGTCTCAGGGCATGGTGTGGGTACTCTCCTCCCTGAGCCTCCTTGTGATTTTGAGGCACAAGGGGCAGATCACTGCTTTGCTGTCTTCCTGTGTGGACGTGATCTTCCCTGTTGACTTAATTTCCTGCTTGATGTCTCTGTGTTTAGAGTAGCATCAACTCTGTGGACAGGAGTACCTCTGCACAGCCAGCTTAGGGCACGTGTCTCTTACCTTAGGACACATTTCCAGGAATGCCAGAGCTAAGGCAGAGGTCCAAGCAGAGTGTCGGGATGCGTGTGGCTGGCCCCCGGTGGGAGTGGAGCTCTGTGACCAGCCATGCTGGGCACGGCTGCACAGTGAGGACTTCTTGGTCTGGCCCTGCTGTTGTGGGGTGACTAGACCAGAGGGGAGTGGGGAGCCTGACAGTACGCAAGGGGACATAAATAAGGTCCCTGAGTGGAAACGGGGCCTGGAAGAGCGAGCACCAGGGGAGACCTGCTTAGGAGCTGGCCAGGGAAGGGGAGGTCAGTTTCACTTGCTCCAAGGGTCCTCTCTGAATCCTCCTTACATGGTTAGCAGTGATTTTCTTTTCTTTAATCTAAGAGATAAACAAGATGGCATTAATATTTTGCAGTTTCTTTGATCACCAGTGAGATTGCTAACCTGCTTTTCATGTTCAAGGTATTTTAATATTTTTTTTTGTTTGGTTATTTTTTGCAATTTACTAGTGAGTGCTCTTGGCTGGGGTTTTGTGTTGGACAATTGCTGTCCTGTTCTTTTTCTTTCTTCTTTGACTAATGACATCAATTGTACAGACTGATGGGTTTCATGGCAGCACACTGGTGCGTCTGTATGACGTGTTTTGATCTTGTCTCCCCTGCTGTCCTGCCTCCCTTCCCGATCCCCTCTCCTCTTGGTGGTCTCTCTTCTGCTTTCACGGGGTCTTTCCCTCTAGAGTTCACGCATGAGTGCTCCTTGTCTTTGAGTCTTTCACCCACCACAGTGACCTCTGGGGTGCCGGGCTGGGGCTCAGTGGTAGAGCACTTGCCTAGCATGGGTGAGGCCCTGGGTTCGATCCTCAGCACCACATAAAGGTAAATAAATAAAGGTATTGTGTTCATCTACAACTAAAAAACATTTTTAAAAAATGATCTCCGTGTCCGGTACCTTTGGACCCTTCCTTATGTAGAAAACTTGGCCGTGAACAACCTTCTGCTGTTTGCCATTTACCTTTTAATGCGGCTGGGTTTTCCTCCTCTAGGGATGTGCTCAGTCCTTGTGTGGTCAGGTTCCTCCACGTCCACTTCATGGAAGCGTCCCGCCTTGGTGTGTGTTACAAAGTCCTTTTCCAGCCACAGGTAATAATAGTTCCACTTGTAAATCTGCATTCATACTTTCTTCTACCACTTGTGTGGTTCTGCCTTCTATATTGAAAATTTCAATTCATTGGAAACAACGTTTGACATACTGTGGGAAAGAGTTCCCTCTGTGTGTTCTGTACTTGATCAAGCTGAACACACTTAGGATGCTACTGAACCCAGGGCCTTGTGCAAATGAGGCCAGCACTCCACCCAGTGAGCTATTTCCCCAGCCCTTAGGATGTTTCTGAGGTTAAAAGTCACTCTTGTTGTATGTTGGTGGCCCCTTGTTGATCTGTGAATGGGAGCTTTCTATGCCACGCATCACTCTGGTTAGTGCTGGTATAATGGAAAACCACTTGTAAAACATTCATCTTGAATGTGGCCGCTTCGCCCTGCCATGATCAGTCCTCATGGTTTTTGGGTTACTTTTCCTCTGAGTGATCTGTCAGGTGACCTGTGACAAATGACTCAGTTTACCAAATGACATGTTTTGTCCTTTGTTTTTCTTTAAAAAAATTTTTTTTTAGTTATATTTGGACACAATACCTTTATTTTGTTTATTTATTTTTATGTGGTGCTGAGGAT